CACACAGTGCACGATAGTTGTATCGATAGTATGATGTGCACTTGTTCGATATAGTATAAAAATGCAGCTTGTGGTATTTTATTTTATCGTTCAAGTAGTGTAAAATAATAAACACCCTTAATGATGTACGTCGGGTAAATACCTAATGGGTAGATGAATATTGTCGCGGGTCTTTATCCACAAGTACAATTTTTTATCGGTTCACTTATCAAATGTCAATCAATTTATGGCTATAAGTATAAAACAAAAATACCGACAAGCTTTCCCGTAAATGTGTTGCCAATGTATATGTGTATTGTATTAAAATTAATTTACCCAATTTACCCGGTGTTTAAATGTCCATCACCAATACCGCTCCATCATGATAGTGTAATAATTATACAGCCAATAAAAGCAACTTTAATTTTTTTAAATTTAATTTTACTACTACGGTTCCACGATTTGATTAGGAACAACGCTGTTTTACTGGTTTTAATTGTTTCTGATAACTATAGGATAAAGTCATGGCTATAGAATTAAACGATTCGAATTTCACATGAATCCATTTAGTTAACATTTGAACGGACCAAATCTTACCCATTCGAATTCTTCATGACACTATATTATTCACTTCGCCTCGCGTTTTTGCGATAGTAGACAGTATAACTACTGCAGTGTATGCAGAGTGGATTTCGATAGAATTTGTGAATTTATTGATTAAAATGTCTACGAAAGTGCTACCCATGATAATGAAATAAAACGATGGTACGTAATGTCCATGTGGAGACAGTTACTATATATCACTCGCGATTAGTAGCTGTCGAGTGTCATGCACGGATGTTATAATGTAATAACAGCTTTCGCGATATAGTTTATGATTTACCCATAGTTATTATCGTCTTGTTCACTCGACGATAGTTTTCGATATTTATACGCAGTAGTGAATTTCGCGACTGTCACAATAGCGATATTAACACCGTGTAAATAGACCGGCCGGCTTTACACGTATTATAATGTCTTTGGTTAGTGGGAAGAAGGGCTTAAATTAAATTTTAATAGTTGTCTATGCAAGCTAATTAAATTTTGGAAATGCATACGTTTGTACATAAATTAATACACGTATACACTGCATAAATTTATATTTAAAATACGTATGCGTACATAGATAATTACGTAATGAAGACCAAAAAATAAAAGCAATAAATTACGTTAAACAAGGTAAAAAAGAAAAAAAAAAGTTTTTTTCCGACATTGACAACGGGGCGATAGATTTTTTCGACAAACATCGAAATATTTCCGATCAAAATATATCTATCAATTAAAAATGCGTGTTTTAAAAATTTAAATTTATTTCCAATAAATATACACAGATTAGGTATGCATACACGCGTTCAATATTACTAGGGTTAGGTTTGGTTAAATGAAATGAAATTATATTTAAACGGAACGATAAATAGACAAGTTGAAATACTAAACTTGCTGCCGAACAGTGGTGTATACTCAGGAAAAGAATAAAAGGAGGTTCAGTCCCCCCCCTCATTGACCATGTGGAATACAAAAATAATAATAGTTTAAACTATTCAACATTGGACAGTATTATTATTTTACTTATAAAACCATTGCACAGTAGCCCAAAACCCTGCTTATTCAATTTAGTTCAAACAATTGTACTCTCTACAAATATTTACTAATTATATGTTTTACTAAAAATTATTTTTAGTTAAGTTTTTTTAGTTTGCTCTCCCCCTCCCAATTAAAAATCACGAGTAGGTCTCTGTTTCCCGTGTCGGTAGGTATAGGAAAATTTTACAGTTGAACTGTTGACAAAATAATTAATAACTTTGTAAACTTACACATGGGTGCCATACATATATTTATTGTTTTGTGTAATTGACTAACAGTGACGCCCAAAACTTATTTGTACCGACCTGCTCTGACCTATAAACCTATTAATCGGTCACTCGAGAATTATTTATACACTGAAATAACGTACGTATATATATCTACCACGGTTAAAGGGTTTTTTGGTGGAGTGCACTGCCACGGTCCGTCCTAATATACAAGTTCCGTGTGATAGCAAAACACCGACGACCGGTATACACACACACACAAACACGCACACACATAAAAATATATATATAAAGGCCTTTTTTTTTTATATATATATAACATGAGTGAAAAAACAGCCAACACCCTTATACAACGGTATTTTATTTTAAGCACTCTTGAGGGAGGACTGCTATACTGCACCATCATTTAGCCAATCCGTTTAAAACTATTTCGATGTAGGGATATTCAATTTACACGAGAGCCGACGAAAAACCTAATCAAATTTGTCTCCGACGCGACGCCCTAACTTAACCAAACGAACTCGTATTCTTATTTACCGCTCTATCGGTTTGAAATGTTCTCCTTTTGGAAAAAAAAAAAATAAATAAAAACTTCTAACTTCATTGGCAATGGAAATTTTCATCAAAATGTAATATTGACGGGCACCTATATTATAAATTACAATATATAGGCTGCAGTGGATATACGCGACTTTTAAAATGTTTGTAAATCGATATTATATAATATTATTCAGTAGGTAAAATTTTATGTTCTACAAAGTACAAATACTTTTTCGATATTGAGGGGGGGGGCTTTAATTTTTTCATAGACTTAAGTTTACCACTCCATTTAATTTAAGGAACAAAGTCTTCATTTATACAGCATAACTATTAATATCAGAGTTAATAATATTATTGTTATCCAAAGTTAACATTTGATTTTTCGATTCATATCGAGTGATAAAATGGCAAAATATCGGAAAAAACATTTCGTATACATGTTTGTGTTTTATATGCCTTCACAGTTCGTTTGATTGTCATTTGTCCTATTTTTCGTCCGTTTTCACAGACTCAAAGCTAGAAAATCGACATACTCTCGTCGAATTTCGTTCACTACAAACATTATTATGTGAACAACTTCTTGATTTTTTTTTTCAAGTGAAAATACGATCGGTCGTTTTTTCTGTGTCAAACCAATTAACTATATAATAAACGGTAACTGTTTGCTGATAATCATATTAATTCGTTAATACATAGAAAATCGATATCGCGAATTCACTCTTGTAATAACGTGCTGTAGTGTCGACTGTTGCACTCGCGTTCAATTTCTAAATTAATTTTGCGACGGATATCGTAATTCAATTATACACGACGATATGGTACGGAATTCGCAGGTTATGACAAGGTTTTTTGCTACGGTGTCTAATCGGATAATAGCCTAGGACGACCAAACATACTCGTTTATAATATATAGAACAGAGTCCAAAGAAAAGGGTCCGCGTAATTCACGATCTGGGCGATTTCCGCGGGGAGATGGCGGAAATGTTAATTTGTCGACAAACGTATACGAAATACTAATACAAAATAATCGAATATTATATTAAAGCTTAAAGGGCTTAGTATCGATAGTGGATAGGCGCCGATAGTCACGTTTATACTTACGACATTAAGTTAATTGTCTACGTATAGTGCGCCAACACTACATATTATATTTTGTGGTTGACTTGGCCCACAAAAATATTGTTTAAAGAAAAACTATGTATAATTTGTACTTACTTGTGTAGGACTTAATGTGGGGGGGGGCTTAGCCGAGTTTCGGGAAGAGATAATTCCCCGAGCCCCCCGACTCTGATTTGTACACATAGTTGTCGCATAGGTAGTAGGTAAATTTGTGAAGTACAAAGTCCGAAATTTCTCGTACCATTTAGGCGGTTTTTATTACCAAATATAGGCGGCCCAACGGAGTGATATAGTGTTAACAATTTCCATTAAAAATGTGTAGTGTATTATTTGTTTGTTTTTACCAATATTGACGAAAAATAAATAAATATATTCACGTTATAATAAGAAAGTTGTTATTTTTACCACGAACGTGACATAAAATTGAGTTGACCGAAAAAAATAACACGAAAATATGTATCATCTGGAAAGCGATAACGACACGACCTCAATCAAAAACCGAACAGTGTATTTGTTTGTTTATTATGTGTACTTACAGCTTTTGTCGGCCAGAGAAATCCGATATCAATTTATTTGTTCGGTCCGTGAGAAAAACATGATTATAGATCAAATAAAATATCTCCGGGAATATATCTGAACAACAAAAGTATCTATTTTCCATAAATAAATAATTGTATTCGAAATATTAACGTCTGATATTTTCTGATTTTCAATGCCAATTTGTTGCTAAATAATGAACCTATTTATTAGTGCGACGCTTTTTATAGAACATGTAAATCAATACATAAACTTTAGTGCCTGGCCCAACTATTCACGTGGCGATGATAATATGAAAAGTTATCAACTTTATAAAAACAGATTAAAAATAAACGGATATATTTCGCACGATGGGTGGGCCATTGTTATAGGGAGAAGTTGGGAAGGTAGAGGGGAATTTAATGTACATCTGTACGCAACGATTAATCATTGATGACAAAAAACGATTCTGAGAGGAGTTATGTTATACATGTTTTAAAAGGCTGTAATATTTACGATTTGAAAATAATACATTTCGTAAATTTCCCCTTTTTTATACGTATTTCCTGGTTTTCCCATTTATAGAGGAAAAACCCTGGGAATAAAATGACCTTAAAGTACCGCCCCGGTCAAATTTTCTTTCAGAAAAAGTACTACACTTGGTAATCGGAGCAAAATGTCTGGTATAGAAAAGTTGTTCAGAAAACAAAGTAATTAAAAACCATTGTAAAATCAATAGACATTCCTCGTTCCGCTCAGAATCTGAAATCTATTTCACGTGTTTCATACTACGCATACGTTATTATTAATTACATAATTATTAATCGGTGTTGTGTAAAGATTATTTTCCTTAAATATCTAGAAAAGAGATAATATATTTGTTGATTAATTGTCTATATTAAGATAAAAGAAACATCACACTTTAATTATTTATACATAAAAAAAAAAAATTTTAATTTTTTCATTACTTCTGTAACACGCTTCCTTGGTTTCAGACTGGAACGTATGAGACTGTCGATATTTATTGTTAACCCTGACCACTCAATTGGAATATTCGGCTATTCCTACAACCGTTACCGGGTTTCGGGACCGGATTGATGAACTGATATAAATTAAAGTCTCTGCGGTGCTCGATAATTTGGAAACAATTTTAGAAATCGTCGTTTATAGTGCGACACAGGCGCGCACCCAGGATTTTTGTTTGAAGGGGGCTTAAACATTTTCCTATTATTCTTACACACAAGTATCAAACGACTATCACTAATTTTTAAATATTTTTTTTTTATTATTACCGCATAGCGCATGGTTTTAAGTGTATAATATTAATAACTAAACACTATGACGTATAAATTTAAAAAAAAAAAAAAAGAACTGTCATTACTTTGGATTGTCCCAATGGCGGAATCGAATGGACTGAATGAATTGTTCCAACGGACGAACGGGTAACGACTAACGAGGTGCTATGTAGTTCATATCAGTATAATGCTACGCGGTCGACGGTCAAAATCATTATTGTTATCGTAGTTATCGATCTAAGACGACGGGTGACGATTCGACATGATTGCTAGTATAAATCTAAAATTAATTTTCAACGAAATAGTCGATCAGCGATTGCCACGAACCTTATCTCGTACTATTGAATTATTAATGCGTATCAAACATGATGATCGGATAAAAAAAAAAAAAAACATTTTATTATTTTACTCTAACTTATTACTCTAATAATAATAAAAAAAAAAAATTGGGGAGAGCTTCAGCCACAAGCCCCCCCCCCCTGGGTGCGCCACTGTTGCCACAGTTCGTATCTCAGTTTGTGTAGTTCAACAGGATGATCGTAAAACGTATTTTTACGAAAACAGGAGGTTTCGATGTGAGCGGCGTTGCCATTTGCGTGTTTTATAATGTAACCAAGGGTCTAACGAAAATTATACGTCAGACCCGTTGTTCCAGTATAAACCGTCATATCTATCGAAATTAATTGTTTCCACCCACCCGCCGTTTCTAATGAATTATAATTTTATGCGCACAAATTGCGTTTTGAAAAAAAATAATCCCGTCCGGGCGATTCGATTGTTGTCGTCTCGTATAATTCGATTCACTGTCTCTAGTCCTATCCGGGCCGACAGATAAAATATAAAAACATCACCCGTCTGCCGACCGTTGGTCCGGACAAAACGGAACGCCACGGAATACGGCGTGCCGCGCAGTATCGATGACCCGCGGGTTATCCACGCGGGCGACAAAGAGTCGAAAACGGTCACCGTACACGGTCGTCGTACAAGATTCAAAACGATGTCCGGGGCGCGCGCCGCTCGGCGACAACCGATTATGATTGATGGAATGTACGGGTAGAAGACCCGAGACGAAGGAGCCGCCGCCGCCGTCGCGATTCGTTCCGCGTGTAATGTCGCACGGGCGCAGTACGCGGGCACTGTAAGAGATTAACTTTCGGCGATATTGTGTGTTTTTCCGAATATCGAATCTAATGAATACAATACGGTCTCGGGTTTCCGAAGCAGAAGAAAATAAAAACCAACAGCTTATCGGAAGTATATCTATACGTGTATACGTATCTAGTAATATATACGTATATAGCTTCGTAGGTACATACAGTCAATAGGATAGAATATATAGGACGAAATATATTATGTCTGTCTCCGCTACCCTCCCTCCCGCCCCCTCCCCCCTCCGCCCTCCGGCCGACCGTCGTTTTATATATTCCCTAATGGATTCAGAAATTCGAAACTCGGTACACATCACCTGCGTATTATTATTATATACGTATAATATTGTTGCGTGCATGCGAAGTAGATTTTCATTCTTTTTCATTTCCACCTCTCGTCCCCGTTGTCGCGGCGCAAGTTTTCCGAACCCGAGCCGTTCGCTAAGCCGATCTGTCTCGGTATATTACGTATATTAGGTGGGTGTATTGTTTTTATTACTTGCGCCGCGTTTTCCGACATGATATAATAACGCGGGCGGTGGAGAGAATCGGTCGGGAAACAGTCGAAAATAACCTCGTAACGGATACGCCGTACGATACGACGCGGCGCGATAATGTAATACCGACCGGGGGGAAAAGATTTTTGTATTCTCGGCCGCGGCGGAAACCGCGCGTCGGTTCCGATTTGTCGTCCGTCCGCGTACTTCCGTCGTCGACTAGAGAACGTGTATTTTTTTTATTTTTTTTTTTTTTTGTTTTTTTTTCTTGCCCGCGATCGCGAAATTCAGATTACCCATCCACCTCCGGCCGCGCGCGTTTCGCTCCGGACCGCCGCCGTTCGCCGTCCGGCGCGTCCGTTTCTCCTCCGATCCGTCGCCCCGATCAATCGCCCGATTCCCGGCGCGTCGTTTTGTATATGCCGCCGCCGCCGCTATAACGTATTATATTATTATATTTTCGTCGGGTCGTAAAATTATCGAATTGCACGCACCGCAATATTATTAATAATCATAATAATAATAATAATAACAATAATAACCGTCGGCGCACGGATCGCGCGAGCGTTTACCCGCCCGCGGCAATCGGGGCGGGGAAGGTGGGAACACGGTGACGGGGGAGGGGGGGGAGAGGGAGGGAGCGCAAAAAATACAATAAAAATAAACCTCGCGCTTTTCCCACCGTTATCCCTTATGTGTTTGCGCTCCCCGTCGTCCGCGGAAATCCGTCCGAACGACCGTCTCTCCCGGTCTCTCCCGGCCGCGGCGGACTCCGGGCCCTCGGTGTCCGGCACACACACACACAAACACACACACACACACGCGCGCGTTATGCTTACGGCGGCGGTGCGTTGTGTGCACGGACGGGACGTGACTCGCGTTCGCGGCCGGGGATTGCCAGTACCGTGTCCGGTATACGTGATTTAGCGTCATAAATACTGTCGCCGCCGTGACGTTCATCAATACGGCGGCGACCACTTCTGGCCATTAATAACGGGCTCGCGCGCGCACACACGTCCTCAAACACCCCCCTGCGAAACGCTCCCTGCACGTACGTCCGCGGAGCCGGGTACCCGGGTTTAACCCGATCCTTCCCCATATATATGTATATATATCCTGTTCGTTCGGCCGCCCGCGGTCCCGGCCACTCTCCTGGAATTTTTCTTCTCTCTCCTTCCGACCCTCCCCTCTTCCCACGCCACCTCTCACACCTTTAAATCTTAGTCGGGTCAGTCGTACCGCAGCAAGATCGCAACCGCTTTGCCAGTCAACACGCATAGGTTTCGGTATTTTCCGCGCATTGAGTGTTGTATTACTTTTGCCGCGGTTCCGCAGCAAAAAAAAAAAACTATTGTGAAGTAAAAAATCCGTTAATTTTGCGGGCGGAAAAAAATGTTTTTTGTTTGCTTTTTTTATCGAAGCTTTTGGATTTCGGTCCGAGTTTTTGGTGTACACAAAAATATCGCACGTCGTTCTTTCGATTTTACCAAACGAGTTTTCGAAAAATAAAATAAAAACAATTTCAGATTCGGATTGAGCCCGCTACGCTCGAGAGAATAAAATACTCGGAACTACAAACGATTACATAGAGGAGAAAAAAAAATCGCGATTTTCGTTGTTTTTACATAATCACAAGAACAATCGCTTATGAATATGAAGAAGATCGCATCACGTTTTCAAACATTTATACGAGGCCAAAAAAATTGTACAAAACCCGAAATACTATAGACATTATTTTCGAATAGCTATAAACGACCGCGAAAACCATTTTGAAAATCGCACAGCGTCTAGAGTGTGCTTAAATAAGTATTCGGTGAACGTTTCCGGTGGTGTCTACGACATTATCTACGACCGAATCGCGACGAAAATAACGGGAATCATTGCGCGTTAAATTGTCCCACGTCCCGACTCGCGAACGGCCCGATATGAATTTATTTTGTTTAGACGACAGAGTTTTCTTATACATATATATAAGAAAATACACGCTGTACAAACGTCGCGAAAATAATATAAATAATGGCGAGCCGGCCGAGTGACGATAGTATGAATTACTATTTGAACAATGATAATAATACCGAATACAAAATACTTTCGCAAGGCTTACTATCGAGGTGCGTATCGCCGCCGCCGTTGTTTTATTCGCGTTCGGGGTACGGTTATTTTGATTTCGCCGGCGTTTTTTACTCGGCTAAAGACATTCCTACGGTGTTTTAACCCTTCGGTATTTCGCGAGGTATCCCCGAGGCAGCACGCGCGCGTTATAGGAATGCGACGTTTTTATCATTGTGCAGCAGCAACAGAAACTGCAGAGCACCGGGAGTTATTACAAATAGTCGCAATTCGGAAAATCTCGCAAAACGTTTATTTCGTACACTTACCGTCGCCGCCGATCCAGTCGTAGAAAAAATTCCAAGCTCGACGCAGATATACTTAATACTTGATATTATAAAATATTATTAAACACTGGTAGGTATGCGAACCTGAGCTGTCGTCCTCGATTTGAAATAATAATAATAATTTTAAAATATTATACACAGCATAGTAATAGAACGTTTACTGCGGCGGTGATAAAATATCGTATTATAAACGTAAAATATTATTATATTTTTGTATTTATACCCGCGCAGAAATTACACTACAAAAATTAAATCCGTGAAAAATATTTCGAATAATTGTTTCGTATTATTCGTCATTCGTATACATTATAAATGCGTCGCACGAGATAAATTTTATGATGGAGAGGGGGGGGAGGTTACTGACCAACTACCTACGTGTTTTAGAAAAGTCATATTTTAGAGCGGATTCTGCGGTTATTTTGATGATGATAATAAGCTACGAGCGAAGAAATAAAAAGTCTCGGTTATACAGAGTGATTCATGTTTGACAGAAAACACTCATTACCTCGGAAAGTATTGACTTTTTTCGGAATTCGTTTTACAGGAAATTTAATAGCAATATGCAGCTATATAATTTTACATTTATGTTATTTTTTGACTCAACTATTTTCGAAGGTGAAACCACTACCTAATTTTGTATTTTCAAACGACGAACTATACTGAAGAATCCGTAAACAGATGGATTATTATAGTTGAAATAAATTTTGGTGTCGACAATTTTGATTTCCGTCATTCCGTAAACGGGATATTCCACTTTTAAGTTTAATTCGAGGGAGAGTAGTGGAGTAGTCGTTTGTGTGATGACACTGCGCGCGGCGTTTTAATAATACACAACATGTGATAATGTAACATTTTAGAACTATTTGTTTCTTAAGATTTCCAAAAAAAAATTCCGAAAAAATTGTACATCTTCCGAGATAATGACTGTTTCTAATAGAGTGAATAACCATATTTTAAAATCTGTGAAAAAAATGCCTGTCCTTGGATTGGGGCACGGGAAGGACAACAACTAAAATTCACTGGAAAACACTGTTATAATATGAAACAATAATATTCGATATATTTTTCACAGATTAAATTTTATAGACAAGAGTTATAGATAGGC